AAATATAATTATTATTACTAACATTATAGCTTGCATTATATTAATAACAGTAATAATTATAAAAATAGAACTCTTAATCATAATTATTTTTACTAGACAATCATAATCACAAATATCAAACACTTTTCTCTCAACACAAATTTGTAGAAAGAAATAGAATCGAATTAAGGTTAAGCGAAAGGACCTTAAAAAAGGAAAATATACGACACTCTAGGCATTCTCTTCTTCGGTAAGGAGCAAATATTAGCGGTGAAATGGAATTATGTTTCATAAAAAGGCAATTAAATGAAATTGCATTGTGAATTGAATGGCTCCGAGAGGGAATGCGATCGCAATTAATAGCGAGGATACTCTGTTAGCGTGCTCGGGAATCCAGACACGCTCGACACGTTGCGCATCGTCGTGTCGTCAATTTACAGTCGCATATCGCCGTATCTCGAACAATGGTATGAAAACCGCGTCGCATTCCAGAGCGCGCTGGGACGGTGCATCGCAAATGGTTAACACTCTTCGCCATTCAAAAACCTCTTTCCGTCCCAATCATATTTTCTTGAGAAAAAATTCTTGCGAGATGTATTGTCAAAAGAAAGCGCGACTCATCAAGCGCATTTAATATATATATCGTTTATAGCGATATATATACGTGATAATATCGTTTTAAAGAATACAAATATATGAATTAAAAATATTACATAATATGTAATAATGTATTTAATAAAAATAAAGATGAATAAATACATTTATAATGTGTATGGAAAATACGTGCGGATTTTCAAAATAAATTCAAAAATAACAATTTTTTTAATTAAAAATAATTGTAATCTATAATGTAGGTATGCACCATTTTTGCACAATATTTTTCTATGTTTTAGATAATTTCATAATTTCTCTTTCATAGAAGTCCTTTTAAATGTCATTTACTATATATATTGGATAAAATCGCAAGATTATATCCAATATATAATAAATAATAGGAATACAGTTAAAGCAACAACAGTTACGCAAATATAATACATATCCTATGCTCATGTTCCACGTGACGAACAATATATTGCGAATAATAATCTCCAATTATTTGTGGCTTATGTTAAAGAAAATTTACTATACTATATTTCTTCAAAAGATTGTTCTTTACATTCAATAGAGTTAAAAAAAAACCTAACTTAACCTTAATTTTGATACGCCGAATTCTCTCATTCCTCGAGCGTTTGTCTAGCTTCGGGCAATCCGTAGAATTAATCGAATCGACTTTCAGCGAGACGATATTGGGAGAATTAAAAGAAAAGAGCATCTCATCGGTCAAAGTCCGTTTACGCGGGAGAGAATAATTGGAAGGGGCGCGAGTACAATTTGCGTCGAGCAGAGAATCTAATTCTATCGGTTTTCTAATCCCCGTACGTTTCCATGGTTATTCATAATTTCTATCCCCGCGGTGATGCAAGCGAGTCACATTAAAATGTATCTGTACTCGATCGTATATGAATACGTGGAAATTACGCACATTCCGCGGGGCTTATTAGATTACCGTCCGCTGTTATCGTCAACGATAGTTGCGTCCTCGGTTGCGTCGTTATCTTTATCTCTCTACTCCTCCCCTTATTCTCTGTCTCTTTCTCTTCTTTAATGCACCTGTCCGCTGCATCGCCATTCATGCGTACGCACATGTGTGACGATCTGAAAGAAGCTCATACGATATCCGTGTGGCAAGGAATTTGTTCGGATTCTTAGACTTTGAGAAAATATTTATCAAAAATATGACGATTCATATATGTGGTGTTATATGATCCCGTTAATGTGTTCGCTTTAAAATGCTAATGAAAATTATCTGTGATGGAATATAAAATGAGCTAACATATCGTGTTTTGCATTTAATACTTTAACTTGAGTATTTTTTCTATAAATGTCACGTGTCTTTTTTATTTTAGTCGTGAAATTAAGATTTTTATATTGTGTATATGCAAAATATTATTTTGATAGTAAACTGTGTACGCGCATAAAGGGGAGGGAAGGGGGAATATTGTTATTTTTAAAATAATAACAATGATAAGAATGATGATATAATAATGACATAATCATAATGATAGGATAATTAATACTATATTAATTTGTTGTGTCAATTCAAAGGATTCGCATTAGTTATATCAAAATTAGGTTCTGATAAAATGAATTAGTATTTACATATAATGTGTGTATTAACTACTCATTATTGAGTCTTGTGTCAATGATATCTTTTGTTCATTACATTATAAGCTATATATTATATGTGAAAACGCATTTCACCGGAACCCAATCTATGATATAATTAGTAGAACCTTCACTTTCTAATTATATGGAAAATTGAGTCCCGATGAAATGAGTTAGTTTTTTTCACGTATAATGTAGTTTATGGTGGAATAAATGTAGTTAATATGGTGAACAAATGATATCATATAGCGATTTCAATCGAATGTACTCAGTGTGTGCACTGGTGCATATTAAAGTCATAGATTTATGTAAAAATGTATGTTTATAAATATAGAAACGCGTTAAACGCGATCTTCATTACATTTTATTATGCTGTAGTTAAAATATGTATTTTATAATTCAAAATATTTTTTTTATAATTCAAAACATTTCACTTTTACACTCAGATTAAATCAGTGTATGGCTTTAATATCCACTAGTGCATTCTACTGAATTCGTTAATTTACAAGGTTCAATAATAGTTCAGAAGTTTTTAAAATGACTATATGATGTATCAAAAGTGTAAAATTTACTTACAGAACATCTTTGATACATTATAAGTTAAAAACTATATTATTGAGTCTTGTGTCAATAACATCTTTTGTTTATCACATTATAAGTTGCATTATATGCGAAAATGAACTTCTTTCATCGGGATCTAATTTTCCATCATGTAAATAAGGATCTTTTGATTTGAGTGCTAGAAATGTCGATAAGTGATAATATAATAAATTGAAAAGAACTTTCTTTGGATCCAGATTAAGCTAACAAAGACGAACAATCACAAATGAACATGAACAAGTATTATTAAAATCCTATATTTATAAGAATAGCATAAAAAACTGCTGTTTGCTTAATCATATCATATTAAAAAGTTGCTAAGCGCTTATTGGATGATAGACCAATTAGATAAAAAATGGCGGTTGAAATAGTCAATAGAAAAATGCAATAGGAAAGAAACCAATAGGAGGACGCGATTGTCGATATTCGCTCAGATAAAAACAATGCGTTATTCTTAGATCGATTCTACACACGTTCAAGTAAACTTGTCAAGTATAAATGCGCAAATCGCATACATACGAGTACATATCGTCATATATCGTGTATATGACAAAGCTGCATAATTATTTCAATAAATTTGTATTGTATATGTGGCTTGCGCATACCAACTGACACGTTTACAGCGTGAAAACAGAACGTATTCTTATAAATATAAAGCTCTAAGCGTAATAAATTATTCTTTTGTTTTTCTTATATTAAAAGAAGATGGAATAATTTGTTTGTGTTTTTTGCTTGATTCGGATCCGCTTTTCCGCATACTTGACTTCATCAAATTCTAAAATTCAAAGTTGTAATATATAAACACAAGTCAAATTCGCTATTGTTTTTCAGGATGCGCGTGCACGGGAGCGAATCCGCGAGACGGTGCGCGCGAGTAACACGCCGGTGAACGCGCGAAGAAATGAAATGTGCGACGAGAAGAGCCATTAGGAATCCGCCATTCTCGGCGAATGTCATTCACCCTGCGTGTACATCGTAAGAAGAAAAAGAAGAAGAAGAAGCAGCATCATCACGGGAGAAGATCGAAGTGAATGAGTCTGCTCGCATCCGAGATTCGACACTTGTAATTCGTCATCGCTGGGATCTCCTCATGTCATCGGAAATCAGCTATCCGTAAACGTATTTCATCTAATCCCTCGCCCCGTCCAATTCGCCGGCGTCAGAAGAGTGAAAGGCAGTACTTCGCTCCACACGACGCGTCTCTTGACTCTTGAAACGCATCCCGCCAGACTCGCGCGTTATTTTCGCGAGGTACGCTCCTCACGCTGAGGCACGCTCCGGAATCTTTTTTCGTCCATTAACGTCTCGATATAGTGTGCTTTATATACACGTATTCTTCAAAAGTATATAGTCTTATCGCCTAATGTCTCGTACGCGAATTTAAGTGCAAGTGCATTTAGGTCACTCCTAGGTTGGTATACTCTCACTTTTTGGTCAAGTAATCCCTCGACCGACCGTTCTTATTCGCTATAATACAATTGATGATAGAGATGAGAAATTCTATCTGAATGACCATAGTGAAAGAGCACGCTTGTCGATGCTCGCGAGACGCCTTCGCCGTCTTTGTCGAGGAAAAAAATTGATGGAATGTTCGATTGAGGAAGAGTCGATGAATGTCCGTGAGGATCGACGATTGTTAGCCGATCGTTAAATGCCGCGGCTCAACAGCGAAGAACTATGCGATCCATGCGGACGAGCTTGAGTATCGAGAGATCTAATTCCATCAAATTCAGAGATTCAGTGGATCCACTGAGTGATCTATGAATGACGATGAAGCTTCTTCTGTAACATGCGCACATTATTTAACTTTGCCTATTAAGATAGAAGAGGTCCCAGACTGATAAAATTATTAGTAAAACCAGCAATTAGTAAAACCGGAGTGTTTACCGTTTATTTGACGATGCGCTCTAGTTTTCCTCGATCGAGGAAACAACAATTTCTCTGTGCACCGGGATTACTTATCCTAATTAGCCTAATTCCAAGCGAGAACAATTTCGAAATTACTCGCTTCTCACACTCGCGCAAATTAATCTAAAAGCAAGTGCTGTTTTTCCTTCAAGGAATTACTATCGAAGCAAGAAGCTACTGATCGCAAGAACGCGTCTTCACTTGAGGCTTCTCTTCCGGAAATCGAATCGATTTCAAATGAGTCCAGCCCGTCGATTGATCGAACAGAGAATCGTCTGACGTAACATTAAGATTCGTAAGTCGATGTTTCCGTATTGAGGTACATCGAGAAGATACGCGGATCTCCATTTGATCTTCTCTGAAAGGGGACTGATTATAGACTCCGGTAGTGTCCGCGGGGACGCAGATGGGAGCTTGTCTGATAGAAGTCCCATCAACTCCGTGCGACAATAATCTAACGTGTTCCCAGCGATCGACTTCACGGCTGCCGTCACGTTCTCCACCGACGTCGCTCACCGACGTTACCATCGACCACAAGGCCTCTTCTTCTCCCATCCGATTCGGCCACAAAAATCCGATCAAGCTGGAATTGATGGAGTTGGAGAACATTGTTGCGAACACCGTGTACCTGAAAGCGAGAGAAGGTGAGTCTCGTTTTACTTACTTGTATTATCACTTATTGCTGTTTGATTTTAGATTTTATGTTTATATTTTATGTTTTATATACATATATTTATTCGCGGAAATTATCGATCATTCATATACAGCATGCGGAGCAATTAAAGACTAGCAAAATAATTAACGAGTGAGTAATTATAAGTTAAAATTCATTATAACATAAAACATAAAAATCTGCTTTTTTTTTGTATCGAAATATATTGGTTAGAATAATATATTAATGAATGATGTTTTATGATGTTGTAAATAATGTTCTACATTTCATTGTTTCCATTATTTGAAGAGCGGCAAGGTAATTAGGAAACTGAGAAAATTCACGCGGTAATGACAAAAATTGTTCCATGACGGGTAATAATTGCGCTTCGGTATAACACGTGTCAAGAACAGTTATTGAATTCGGTCGATTAGCGCGCGCGCGCTGAATGTACAATTCTGATATTGTGTATCTACATATAATGGCCTTCCCGGAACACCCTATGGCCTATACACAGCTTTCATTACCGAGAGTTCGGCTGGACGACATTTATTACGCGCGTAAAGTCGCTCCGTAGTTTAGCTGCGAGATTGAACGTTCGCATTTAACGCGCAATATGCAATCGTTACTTTCGCATTTAACGCGTTTCGAATTGCCGTCATGGAGAAAATTAAGGCCATTAGGCGTATTTTTTTGCGACACGTGCGATTCTGGATAAATATTTCCGCAATCCCGTGATTACGTTCTCGATGAGATTCAGACTGTCATTTACGGATGAAAAATAAAAAAATTTTCCTCTTTAGAATTTTCTTATTTACGAGAATTACGTCAATTAAACGGCTTTAGATTGCGGAAGATAATAAAACAACATGATTTGCGCATTTAATACTTTTATACGTTGCACGCAATTTAAGTTACTTTTATCGATAAGAAAATTCTGTCATTTATTTATAACTAACTAAAAGACGGCAATTGTGCAGTTGTAATATACGTACATTTAGACACGTGCTGGATCGAAAAGTACTTATCCAGCGAACGTTTTATGATGGCTTGTTGTAGGTGTCCGTATTTTTAATGCGTGTGTAAAACGATGCTTGCGTCGACAGCTTAAGCGCCGTAACGCGAACGATAGATCGAAGCAAAAAATCTTTACTGCGAGAGGATCATCTTTTTCTCTCTGCTCGGCCCGATGCGTGTTTTAGCACACCTCGTCATAGGCGCCGGTAGAACGCGATAAATAAAATAAACAATTGTTCTTATTTCCCTTTTATCTTCATCAAGATTTTGATTTATGAAGTTGTGTTAGTTGGACAGCTCAAATTTATTTTCGTAAATATTAATTAATTTCGGCGCTATAGACTCTAAATTCTTTAGCCTCTCTCTTTAATATGTAGAAATAAATTGTAAAAGAATAACAAAATATACAAGATTCGACAACTATGACGATGGATTAACAAAGTAAAAAGGTGCGAACTATTTTATTATTGTAATTTTAAATGTAATTTTCTGAATATAAAAAAGGCCAAAAATAGTAAATTGTATTCATTTTTAGAGAATATAAAGAGATATGTTGTCATATTTAGAACATCCGTAGCGTCCCGACGCCCATGTCTTATACGAGGCTCCTTTGTGATAGACTAAAAAAAATTATGGTGTATATTAAGCACAAGCTCGGTATTATCGCCGTTGATTCGTTATTTAATTTATGTACAGGATGAGAGAGAGAGAGAGAGAGAGAGAGAGAGAGAGAGAGAGAGAGAGAGATAAAATATGCAAATTGCATGAAAATGCTTCGATGCCTTTCACAATGTAGCAAGATATTTGTTATCTATTTTGCTTTTTTATTACCTATAGGCGGAAAGATCAATGGCAATCAAAGAAAAAATATTTAAAAATTATAATAATAAATTGGAAATAAGTGAATCTCTCTCTCTCTTTCTCTATCAAAAAGCGTCTTGATTTAGCACTAATCAGCTTTCTGACTTTAATTTAATGTTTAAATATATCTATAACCAGTCTCTTTGTATGGCAATCTCGTGTAAAGCTTTCTGATACAAGCGGTAGTTCATCTCACAATTAGCGGTGTTTGTTTTTTTTACGAGAAATTCAACCAACGAAAATAACATTTCACACACGTAAAAAAATAGGGACTTGCAAAATTTTTGCAGGGACAAATGCTTGATTCAATTTCATTTTTCCGTCATGCTCGTCATATATTTTTAGCCTCGTTACAGGGTACAATGAACTTTTGCTGATAGGAAAACGTGACGCTTTACTTCTCGTTATGCTTTGTAATACGTCCCTCACGAGATATGTCATATAAGAATATGACAGGTATTTCAGAATTTTTCACGTTTTCTTTTTCCATGGGAATTTATAGTTTAATCAATTTTTACGAACAAAATTTTGATATGAAGTTCTTAGATTAGAAATTTCTATTTGTCGCAAGAAAAGAAAATATTTTGAAAATTCAATTTTGAGATTTAATATCTCTAATGATTCATTATTCTCTCTACGTGTATATTTTTCTGAATTTAAGAGAACTTGCAACAACAAATATCAAGCTATTTTTCGAGACTAAAGATAAAATGCTGACTATTCAAATTCAAAAAACAAAATTTAGGAAGCTTTATGAATTAAAGGAAGCTATGAATTAAATTTCAAAGATACGAATACACTAATTTTTTATCTGTAAGTAAACTCTAATTCGAGTGAAAGCCTGATTGAAAACCTGAAATTTTCCCGGGAGAATCGTCGAATAAAATTTGCATACAGATCACGAGGTTACATTAACTCGAGACGCTCGAGACTAAACTTTGTCGATTACTGTAGTCACAATTGATCGGTTGCAAGTAGTAAATTCAATGGGGAGGGTCATCCACCATTGGCCGGCATTCAATTAGTGCATTACGAACGACGTCCTGTCGAAGAGTGCAGGCGTGTTGATGGTCGGAAAGTAGGTAAATGGATTGGCGTGATAGCGAACCACGTCAATGGCCTTGTATAATCATATTGCTTGATAAATTTTATAAATGAGAGCCTTGCACGATAAATCCAATCGCCGTGAATTACATAAATATACAGGATACCTACCGTTGAGTTATAGGGATAACGGGTTAATTAGTGGTCTTCTGTGCTCGCTGTAACGCAACGACGACGTAATTAGCGGCCATTCGATCGGGAAATGACTATAATCAATTTGTTGCGCTGACGAAAAACTTTTCCATTTACGAAATCCCAATTTATCACGACTAGTTATTTTCTGTCTCCATAACGTTTTTTTGAAGACAAGAGGAGGCAAAAGGTGTCAATTCTAGATTGTCTCTAAATTAACTCTGAATATGGCTAATTTCACGTTTTGCATTTCGCACAATTAATATTAATAGTTTCTCGATAGTTTTCAATCAATAGTTAGAATTCCAGATCTCCTTTGAAAAATTCCAAAAATTAACATCTAAGTCACATTTGATAGAAATGTTAACGCATTTTTTTTTTAAATATCGAATTTGAATTATATTTTTTTCGATGAATGTTGATATGTCTTTTTTAATGAACAATAGATTTTCTGATAACAACAAAAATTTCAATGTTTTGCAGAAGCGAAAAGATTTTAAATTTTACTTAAGGAATTGAATAGTCTCAGTATTTATAATTTCTTCGTGCAATTCTTTTAAAAATTTCCAATGGTGTTTTTAAAAATTCTTCCAATCTCTCGATTTTTTAAACATTAATTTAACAAATATTTTAGGAAACTTTTGAATTTATTCGCAAAGATACGGTTAATAATATGATAGATGTGTTTATGATAGATGTGTTTATAAAAATGTTTATAAAAATGTATTTATGCAATGACGTCAAATGAAATAACGATGCAATAATACCGAGATGATGTATTATGCGGCTGTCCTCGTAAGCCAAAGATGCGTTTCGCGGGACCGACATACGTGTTCGTATAATCGAAAGTCACGTTTCGTCGTGCTACGGGAATTTCAATTATCATAATGATAGCAATAAGGATTTGTGCGCAATTATTGTGAATAAAGATACAGAGTTATGCCCGTCGCACACGCTGATATAATTACGTGATGACGATGGGGCGTGAGAAAATTCCATCATCGCGAGAACGCGGTCGAGACGCGAATTGTCGCGAATAAATTTCTACGCTCGGGATAACAATAATTATTTTAAATGCTACGTTTAACGCGTGCATGTTTATGTGTTTGTATGGAAGTTGATATACGAAGAGAGAGAGAGAGAGAGAGAGAGAGAGAGAGAGAGAGAGAGAGAGAGAGAGAGAGAGAGAGCAATTTTGTTGAAGAATCTAAAAATTTAGCTATAATAGATACAGATCTGAAAATAATGCTGGATCATCAAAATAATTTTATAGGAATCTTAAGTATGTGGTAAGTAATGTTGTGATGAAATGTTTTGATATTCTAGCAACCAATTTTGTCGTCCTAATTATTTTGATGATCCAACAAAATTATTTTCAGATTTGTATGTAGCTAAATTTTTAGATTTTTCAGTGAAATTGCTTTTTCCGTGTACAATTTAAAAAGAGCGCCAATGGATCTTTATTTTCCACTATTAAATTAAATATGTGCAAACAACACCGCTTTGTTCATATCTATCCGTTAATGTAAAAAATGCAAGAAATTTATTCATACCAGAGTATTGAAATTCGTGGAATAAATCAATTTACGAGATTCGATTTAAGTACGTTTTCACTCTTGCGAATTATTTTATTTCGACTTTCGATTCCGGACTCTGAATTCTTCTACTCTTCATTTTCGCTCGTATGATTTCGTCGAATACCTTTTTTCGTTCTTTTTTTTTTTTCTATCACTTTCCAGGATTGGACGAGATGCGCGCGAGTGCTCGAACGTTGTATTTCGTTTTATCTCTCCCCTTCACGCGATTCACTGAGCCGAATGTGGTTTTTCATTTTGCGGCATTGCCGACTACACACCGATTGAACGGGATCGTCAACAG